TCAAGGACACTAGACCAAAACAAAATCGTCAAGCCACCCTGGGCATTTTGCTGTGTCCCAAACAGTGTATTATTAACTCTTAATGGTCAAAGTGCCCAAGAAAATTCAGGCCAAAAGCTGCTGCAGTTTTTATTCAAATTCTGGCATAATACAATATTTATATTTTATAGCTTTATAGAATTTGCCTATATGTCTAATCTTGGCATTCTGCTGTTCCTTGGTCATATGTCACCATAGTGGCTCTACATGAGTTAACTTTTCTAAGAAAGGGAGGTCCTGATGTCTAATATTTTTATCATGTTTCACTCCATACTTTGCTCATCAATATGTCTCTATGTAGGACAGAGTTGTATGCCATGTAATTGTTTGAGTGTACAATGGGAAGAGGCTTATAATCTGAACTGTGGCCAACTCCTCTAGCCCACCAAATCTTGTTGATCTTTTTGAGTTTACTTTGTTTTGAATGTCTTGTTCCTGTGTAAGTACAGGAACAGATGTTTCAAGAATGTCCCATAGCCTCATGAAGAGACCTCTGGCTTCTTTATGTGTCACAACCTCCAAGTCATAAGGAAGACCTCCAAGTAGATAAGGGTATCTCCCTAAAAGTGGGGGAATATTATGTTCAGGACTGTCCTGAATAGCAATTGAGGAAGCTTAGAAGCAATAATCCTGGGAGAAGGCATAAATGATTCATATGAAATTTTCCATCAGTCCAATATCCCCAAATGTACAAATATTAAAAGTCTCTCAAGTATGCAAAAGGTGGAGATGAAAACCAAAGGTGGCATGGCAGCCATCATGCAGCTCAGCTTTGCTGGATCTTTGTCAAGCAGCTGTGCTGGCTTTGTGACTTCTGCCATTCCATTTAGATGCGGCTTTGCTAGTTGCCTTTTCTCCAATATGTATTTTTGGCTTCTTTGTCAAAAATCAGGAGGCTGCAGTGAGTTTATATGTGAACCCTCAACTATTCCATTGATCAATGGGTCTATTTTTATGACAATATAATACTGTTTCTATTGTCATATCTCTTTCCTTTTCAAGTTCTTGGCTTGTAGTACAGGTTTTAGGACATTGTTTATAAGCTAATTAAAAGAGATTAACTGTTGTTAGTGTTAGATGCTTAAATTTATCCTTAGTCTCAAACCTAATATTACCTTAATGTTACCTTACAATGTTCATATAAAATCTGTATGTATAACTTTAAATTGGTTATTATGTATTTATTTCATTTTATAATCATTTTAATGTATCTACCTGTCGAATAATCTCATTAAGAATGTTGTCTGTGGAAATGTGCATCCTTAACATCTCATTGTTTATATTTCCAACAGTTATTTAATATAATTTAATTTTAAATAGTTTTTGCCTATGTGAAGGTCAGTCTATCTCCTTTATACCCATAATAATGAGCTTCAGTCGATGCAGACCCATTAACTTCTTCTCTGAGAGGCAGCTTAGATTTTTTTCATGCTTGTGAATAACACAGAGAGCAGTATGAATACACACAATAGCAGATGTATCTTTTTTCAGCTGCACTAATCAGTTACTAACCAGGTAACAAGAGTAATATCTCTTGGATAATGATAGCATCAGTGATAATGTTGGAAGAATTAAGTCTTGTAATTCTGCACAATTTATCACAATGGTGGGGTGTAAGTTTGGGATATAAAAATTTTATGCACATATGTATGTGTTTCAGAGCTAAGGATCAAATCTAGGGCTTGGGGATTCCAGGAAAACACTATCTCATTGAACTGTGTGTGCCATCATGCTCAGCTGCTATAAATTATTTAAAATTTCCTTCTTCGTTAGTTATATACTGACATATGCTGTCCCTTAACAGATGTCTACCTTACTTAACCATAAGTTTAAGTATTTCATGGTTAAATTTCTTAAAAAATCATTAGTGTTGTGACTCTCATGTTTGCAAATCATCATTACTCACTTGGAGTAATGTTCCAGTCCCATATCCTTCACCATGTGTGTGTTTTCCTGACTAACTTGTTGTCTACATGCTTCCTAATTTTGTATTTCAGGGAGGCAACTCCATAACTTCCTCATTTCATAAGAATATGTGTGAGAGGAAACGTCTAGGTTCATTTTCTCATTTTCCTATTGTCTTCCACTGTGTTTGAATGATTCTAACATCCCAGCCAGGGAAGTGAGGTACTGAGTCATTACAGTCTCCTTTTGGGCTTTCTGTCGGTGGCTCTGTGACTTATGATAAATTTTGACATTTATCTCTTTAGAGCTACAATTGTCTTTGCTTCAGCCAGAAAATCAGCTCCTAAGTCACCTTATATCAATAATACTTTCTTCTTTGATATGGTATAAACGTTGTAATAACTTCTGCAGTGTGTCTAAAGGCACATTTCTACACAAGCTCTTCTTTAGATGCTTTAAAAGACACTTTGTTTCCAAATACAGCCATTTAACACTCAGTAAAAATATTAAGATTATTATTCCAACACATACCTAATTCTTAGAAACATGCCATTTGTCTTTAGCTATATTTATGAAGACATCTGCAAATGTACTCTTTATGTTTTTATCAGATGTTTTCTACCTGACTTCAATAATTAGATGAAATTATATTATTTCTTACATGGAATATAAAAAGAAATATTACATCATATAGATGTGCTATGTAATAAAATGATTTAACAGTCATATTTCTTTGGTGTGTTATATGAAGAATGAAGTTCACATCTTAGCTTTGCTTATTAGGAACAGGGGGTGGATTGGGGGAGAAGGCTGGGTGGGAGTGGAAGAATGTGGGTGGTATGTAAAATGAATAAAAAGTTTCTTAATAAAGAAAGAAAATAAACATGTTTTAATATTTAAATAACACTAAATGTGATAAGCATACAGATAATTCAATCATTTTAAAAGAGAATGGTTTTGATGATTCAGAATGCATATGATTATTAGGATTCTTAGATGCACAGAAGATAGTGTGAGTTTTAATAATTCACACCGGAGTGTAACTGAAGGGTGTAAATGTAGGGTAGTCTATATTTGTGAAGTTTAATTTACTATTTATAATTTCCTTATAATACAATTGCATGTATTTAGTCTATATTTAGCCTAAGTTAAGTAAAAATATTTGAAACTTCACACTGATTGTATTTAGGTAATTAATTTCCCATACTAGAAAAATTGGTGAGTTAATTTAATAAATTATTGTTTTATTTATTTTGAAATTCTGAATTGGATTTATTATTAAATTAAACGATAATTAATACAAAAACTTTAGGCATTAATGCTATACCATATGAATTGTAAATAATCTAGTTTGGAAGGCAAGTATGTGAAAATAGAAGACTTGCTCATGAGCTGCTATTTTTGAAACTGAGTGGTGAACTTGTAGTGGTATTTTAACTACTATTTCCACTTTGCTGTTTAAAATTTCTGTGATGAAAATACTTTAAAATAACAATACTAAATGCCAACTATATTTTTATTAAGAAATTTTTTATTCATTTTATGTACCAAACACAGATTCCCCTCTCTTCCCTCCTCCTGTCCCCTACTATTCTCCCCCTTAAATCCATCCTCCATTCCCTCCTTTCAAAATGTAAGGTCTCCCATGGGGAGTCAGCAGAGCCTGGTACATTCAGTTGAGGCAGGTCCAAGCCCCTCCTACTACATCAACGCTGTGTGAGGTGTCCCATCATAGGTAATGGGCTCTAAAAAGTCAGCTCATGCACCAGGGATGGATCCTGATCCTACTGCCAAGGGGCCCCTTAAGCAGATCAAGCTACACAACTGTCTTGCTTATGCAGAGGGCTTAGTCCAGTCCCATGGAGGCCCCACAGCTGTTGGTCTAAAGTTCATGAGTTCCTACTAGCTTAGTTTGGTTGTCTCTGTAGGTTTCCCCATGATGATCTTGACGCCTCTTGCTCACAGAATCCTTCTTCTCGCTCTTAGACTGGACTCCTGGAGCTCAGCCTGGTGCTTGGCTGTGAATCTCTGCATCTGCTTCTATCAGTTACTGGATGAAGGCTCTATGATGACAGGTAGGGAATTCACTGATCTGATTATTGGGGTAAGCCAGTTCAGGTACCCACTCCACTATTGCCAGTAGACTAAGCTGGGGTCCTCCTGTGGATTCCTGGGAATTTCCCTAGCACCAGGGTTCTTCCTATCCCCATGACGTCTCCCTCTATCAAGGTATCTCTTTCATTGCTCCCCCACACTGTCCCTGTTCCAGCTAGACATTTTACTCTCTTTTATTCTCAATTTTTTGAAACTATAAATAATTTTATAAAACAGAATGAAGCATTTTTCTCTATTCTCATTCTTAAAACCTGTTTGTCAGGTATACTATAGTCACCTATTGTAGATGCTATAAATAACATGATATTGACTTTCTTAAAGAGCACATAGTAAGATTTCTGTAAAGCATAGTTATATTTAGTATTTGAGCCCAGGTATAAGAAGGAATATCTTTAATATTTATATTGTTAATTATATTATGAAAGCAACAGGTTCAAAATCATATTTGAAGAGTAAGGGCTTTGATGGCAATCTTCATTACCAACTTGACTGGGTTTAGAATCACCCATGAGATACATCTCTGGGAATGCTTGGAGTTCAATTCTCAAGAGACTAAATATTGAATAGGGAAGATTTATCCTGAAAGTAGGTGGCGTCGTCCATGGTCTAGGCTCATGAATCAAACCAAAAGGAAACAATGAAGAAAGTGAGCTCTACGTCCCCATATATGTCTATGCTTCCTAACTACAGATGTGACATCACCATACCCTCACACTTCCATCAGCATGCCTCTCATACCATGTTGGATTGTATTCTTAACTCATGAGCCAAAATAAATCTTCCCTCCCTTCAGTTCCTTCCTGTAGGGTGTCTGTTCACAGCAACAAGAAAAGCAATGAAGAGAAGCACCACACAGAGTTTTAAAGAAAAGATTATGACCAAATCAAGATGAACATCCAATGTTTAAATAAATCTTTATTAGTCAGTGCTATGGTCTTAGTCATATGGTGGATCATACCTAAGGATCAGCGCTTGGGAGGGGGAAGGAGTAGGATCAGGAGTTCAAGTCCAGCCTCAGTCACCAAGCAAAGTTGGGGCCAGTCTGAACTACATAAGATGCTGTCTCAAAAAAAAAATCTAAAACAAAAATGGAACTTAAAAAGAAAGCTGTGATCATAAGTAATGGAAGAGCAGTAGTTAGAAAATTGAAGAAGCACAAAATGTCCAAGTCTCTAATTCAGCCTTTGCCAACATTGCCCAGAGTTCCCTGAAGAGCCGGCTGCTTATGTCTTCACATCACATCCAAATTTCTGACACCATCTTCCATGGGCTGATATGTAGTTCTGGGACTAGGGCTAAACTGAAATCTCATCATCAGACTCTTCTTCTCATAGTATTTCTCTAAGGTGTGAGTAAGTGTCCCAAAACACAGACTATGTCTGCCAGGCAGCTCTAGACATAGATGTCTGCTTTGGAAGTAGGGGTGCCAGAAGAGACTGGAAATGAAAAATGACTGAGTTACTCTGAAGCAGGGATTATCTTCACTTCCTTGTAGCTGTGAGACTGTTTGAGAATGTCAAGAACATACAAAAGGTTTTGCTGTCATACCTGTGCAAGAGTATCCATGACTTATAATAAAAAAATTATTGCATCAACTTCTTCTTTCCATAAAGTGTAAGTGAAAATGTCACCGATAGGAAGCACAGGTCAACATTAACAATGAAATTCAGCACTGTCAGTATGGAGGAACCCTAGATAAATTATACTACTCTGTGTCCTACTTATTAAGGAAAAGAGGAAAATATTCCTTGGCATCAGGAATTGTGCCAGTACTATCAGCAAGGCCTTGGAGTTCTTCTGTGAAACACAAACATTTTATGGAACATATACAGCATGTAGGTGCACCCTGTAGCTTTGTTCTGGGTTATTGTGATGGTATGCTGCCTCACTGCAGCAGGTAGTAAATGGGATTTGCTCAACTTTAAGTATGCTCTTTGTAGTGGGTAGCCATTCCAGCTTTGATCTGGAAGTTCCAACCCCCATTGAGACTTCGGCAACTGTCACGCCTACAAGGCGGGGCCAAGGGGGGCGCCGGGGGACCCGAGATCTGGATCGGCGGGCGCTCTCTCTGTTGCGGGACCCTGGACTGGAGAGGTGGACTGAGCAGAGCTCCAGAGAACACCGCTGGACTGTGATACACCTTCCCCAGACTCCGCGACCTACCTATTCCTTAATTTGTAAGTTACGCCATTAAATAAATCTCCTTTTAACTACGTGGAGTGGCCTTAATAATTTCACCAATATCTGGCGCCCAACGTGGGGCACGAACCCACGACCCTGAGATTAAGAGTCTCATGCTCTACCGACTGAGCTAGCCGGGCTGGCGAGCCAGGCAGGAGATATTGGTGAAATTATTAAGGCCACTCCACGTAGTTAAAAGGAGATTTATTTAATGGCGTAACTTACAAATTAAGGAATAGGTAGGTCGCGGAGTCTGGGGAAGGTGTATCACAGTCCAGCGGTGTTCTCTGGAGCTCTGCTCAGTCCACCTCTCCAGTCCAGGGTCCCGCAACAGAGAGAGCGCCCGCCGATCCAGATCTCGGGTCCCCCGGTGCCCCCCTTGGCCCTGCCTTGTAGGCGTGACAGTTGCCGAAGTCTCAATGGGGGTTGGAACTTCCAGATCAAAGCTGGAATGGCTACCCACTACAGCTCTTTCTAGCTATTTCCTGGAAGATGAGCCATCAAGCAATGGAGTCTCTTAGAATCAATTAAATTAGCATATTGCTTTGTCCAACAGTCAACAGCATCCTAGACATTTTAAGTGTACACTTGAATGGCTCCAAATACATTCACCACAATGTGCTTCCACTGCACTATACATCATCTCCAGAATCTTTTAAGAACCTTGAAGTGAGGTTCTATCCACCAAGCAATAAATCTTCATTCCTTGTTGCCCCTATCTTCGATAGCCAGTATTCTTATTTCTATCTCTCTACATTTGACTAATCAGAAACCTCAGATTTGTGGAATCATACAATATTTATTTTTTGGCATATTTTCTTTAAATTTCCTCTGTTTTATAGCAGATACTTGGACTTTTTAAAGCTGAATAATATACCAATTATCTACATTTGTTGATCTATTTATTGCTATGTGGTTATTTGAGTTGCTCTTGACTTGCGGAAGATACAAATATCATTGATACAGATATTGTAAGTTTTTGTCAATGACAAGAATAGCTTTTTCTGATTCATGTTGTGCTGATTTAGTTCATTGACCTGAAGCAATTTTTCTCTTCCTTTCCAGGCTATCCCTTGCTCCACCAATCTCTGTGCTTTGAAAAACCATGTATTTTGTAATAATTGTCCTTGGGAGATCTAGAAGAGTACCAAATGTAATTTCCAAATGCAGCTACTAACTTATTAAGATAACAATGAGGAGAAGAAATAGGGGAAAAGAACATATAGAGTCAAAGTAACCAAGTGTTTTTCTCTACTAATCTTTCTTTCAAGATGTATTTTCAACAATAGGGTCTAAACTTTGATAATATTTTTCTCTTTGGTGAAGGGATAAAAATAGAGATATTAAAGGAGATTTTCCTTGCAGTGTGAGAGACACATCTACATCACTTATTTATTCATCTACTGAGGTATCATTTAACACCTTTCCCTTCGAACATGTATTCAAAAACTTCAAAGAGTTCAGGGACTTCATGCTCCATTTTCTTTCTCTAGGACAGAGCACATATGAAATAGTCAATAAATATTTATGAAATTAGTGAGTAAAATTAATTATTAGAATGGACTCTTATATCTTAGTCATTGTGACAGGCATTATAGAATACTAAATAACACCATGTCTGCCCTAATCATGCTTTAAGACCAACTAGGGAGTCAGAAAGATGATACATCACAGCCATAAACACACACCGATGGCTGTGAGGAGGAAGGAGAGATTACTTCCACTTATGCATGATAAGGACATTTGCAAAGAGGAGTTGGTTTTATAGGAAGAATCTTGACAGGTAAAAGCCTGAAGAGCATGTATACCATGAGCAGGAAGAAAAACACAAGGATGAGAAGCGTAACAAGGTACTCCAGTATTTTGAGCTCTCATTCTATTCCAGAAAATTTTAATTTCCTTTCTTTTTTTTTTTTTTTTTTTTTTTTGGTTTTTCGAGACAGGGTTTCTCTGTGTAGCTTTGCGCCTTTCCTGGGACTTACTTGGTAGCCCAGGCTGGCCTCGAACTCACAGAGATCCGCCTGGCTCTGCCTCCCGAGTGCTGGGATTAAAGGCGTGCGCCACCACCGCCCGGCTTTAATTTCCTTTCTTAATTTCAACTTCATAGAAATCATATTTTCCCATCTCTAGGGACAAATCATCTTTCCTTATGCTTCACTACAGGAAACCAAGTGGCAGACAGCAGCTACGTGTGAAAGCCTAACTAAAAATCTAGGCCTCCAGATCTCATAGCTTATCACTCCAGTCACTAAACTAACCTATGAGATTTAGTTAGTTTTTCTGGATAACATATGAACTGTAGATCCAGAAAGAAAGAGAAAACTCTGTAGTATTAAAATAGTGGAGCAAAAACTGTGTTTCAGCTTCAAATATAAACAATTATTTTGTAACTCAGACACAGTAAGTTTCTTTGGATAGAATATTTAGTTAGATGTTATAGAGAATAGAAAGAAAGTCATGTTCATTATTATTAATTTTACAAAGACTATTGCCTTTGGTGTATGTATTTCTAAAGCTTGACTCTAAAAATATTAATTTGCAAACACTGTCTTAAAAACAGTTTGATTGAATTGCCTGAAGCAGATGTTCTCTTCTGAGGCATTATCTGACTGAAATGTATTGTAGTGTTTCCTGATTTCTAAGAATTCTTATTTTTCCTAACTCAATTCAAAATTGGTTTAGCTTTAAAAAAAAAAAAACTTTATTTTAGCAATTAAGGGAGATTGTGAACTGAATGTATAGATAAGGCAAGTGGCTACTGTATTTTTATGGGTAAAAGGAACAGGAAGTAAGGAGATGGTTGAGAGGAGTAGTGATTTTTAGGTCCTCTGCATAATGTGAGTTTGATGGACAGCTGATTGCATGAAGAGGTTTAAGGGTGCTTTAAGGTGCTACTTCACCTCACTTTACTCTTTTCACTTGTGCTTAAAAGACTTTGGTTTTTAGAGGTGGATAGATGTCCTAGGTAGCTTTAACTGTGAGTTTCATACAGCTCTAGAGTCATCGGAGAGGAAAAAAATCTTGGTTGAGGAATTAGCTAAATCATATAGGCCTGTAGGCACGTCTATGGTGGATTTAAAAAAAATGTTGATGAAGAAGAGCCTAGCCCACTGTGAGTGGAACCACCCACAGGCAGGTAGTCCTGGTTGTCTACGAAAGCTGCCTAACCATAGGTCTATAAGCAAAGCAAGCCAGAGAACAAGCAGCAGCCCACATGGTTGTTACTGTGCTCTCTTGGCTGTGCGCTCCCTGGTCGGAGGTAATACTGCATACAAGAGCAAGCAGTGTGACCTTCAGGTTTCTGCCCTGATTCCCTGCCTTGACTTCCCTCAAAGATAAACATGACATGGAAGTATAAGATGACAGAAACCCTCCCCACCCCAAGTTGTGTTTGGTCATCGTGCTTCATCACAGCAACAGAATGAAACTAGAATAATAAATTACTATGAAACTCTACAATGAAACTTCAATGGTATCCCCCATATTGTGGGTATAAGTATACAGATACATACCTTGACTTGCTTGCATGATTAAAAATCCAAGACAAGTATCTATGCTTTTTCTCTTTTTATTTCTAGCTACCATGCATGTGATAGTTCTTAACAGCATCAGAATTAGAGAATAATTTGGGAATAGAATCCCAAAGAGACCTGGGGATTGATAGCAAACTCTGTGTTAATTTTCCAGTGAGTGCGATGGCTTTCTTTGTACATCACAACTTGGCTAAGATATGATGACTAGCTATTTGCTCCAATACTACAGTAGATGTTGGATATACAGATGTTTGTAGACGAGGTAATGTTTTTAATCATTTGAATGGAGCATATTACCTGCTGTCATATGTATTGACTTCATCCAATCAGTTGAAGGCCTTAAGAGCAAACACTGAAGTTTCCTGAGGAAGAGACAATTCTACATTAGAACAATCATCTCTTAAAAACTGTTTCCTAAAGTTTTCAGGACACATCCTCACAATGCATTTGGATAGAGGGTATTTTTCAAATACATCTTACACAACAATATTTCCCAGGTTGCATAATTAATCTACCACCCTGGAAAGACTATGTTAAAAGGCTAGAACAGCCTCAAAAAGACAAAGAAAAGTGAATATACAGATCCTGCTATTCAGCAAACATCTACACTCTCTCCTAGAAGTGTCCCCACAAATCTCTCAGTTATCATGACTGTATAATGGAGGAACCTGGGCTAACAGGGAGTGATGGACTTTTCTCAGAGACAGTGCAGCTATCTCTGCATTCTGAATGTACTTGCTGCCCCGAAGCACTGCCTTGAGAATACTGGCATTAGCCAGAAAACTGGTGCTTAGAGCTCTTTTGGCCAACAAGCTCAAAGTGAGATGATTCTCATTCTAACTAAAAGGATATGAGGATCTGTTATGTCAGTGAGAACATTAAGAATCCCCAGAGCAGAAGTTCTAGTACATCTCATTCTCATCCCTAAAGATAGACCTATCATGTCCTCATGACACTGGGAACAGTTTCCCTGGGGAGAAAAAGAAAATTTGATCAAAAGAATTGATCGGTATCTCTCCTCTATCTCCCCGACAGTGATTTCGAATAGATGGGAATTTGCTTTGGTCCCAGCATCCTTGCACAAAATAAGAAGGCTCTCTGGCTTTTAAAATGCTAAATGGGTTTACCGGACTGAAATGGTTATTCTCATGTTTCATAGTGTTGTCTCTCCTACCTTGATTTTTGTTTCTTCAACTTAATATAGCATTTCCTCTGGGGAAAGAATTTACGCACCCCTCCACCGGAAAGCAAGCCCCTTTTGGCCCATCCGTAGTTTGAGTGGCAAAGGCCCCACACATGTTCAGCCCGACTCACGTAGTCCTATTCAGGCTAATGCCAGATTCATCACATCCGTAAGGCTTCATCTCCCCTCTCTTTCTCACTTGGGAGCAGGTGGACCCAGACAGTTCTTTGGAGCCACGTGAGTGATTTCTCTCTGGAGAGACACATCTCTCTAGTCTGCCAAGGAATGAAAATCCAAACAATTACATAGATCACTTCAAATGGTGCCAAATACATTCCACCAAATGCTACTGGCAGTCATTACAGCACGTCATTGGGAGATGTGGTTTTCTTCCAACATTAGACTTTCATGTTGTCTTGAATGCCATGAAACCAAGAAACGAAGGACATCACTCCACAGAAATAGTGGAATCCTCACAACCTGCAGCCGTGCTTCTTGACCGTGAAATGTCTGGAACCAGGAATTAAGAACATTGCTGTAGAATATACTGCCCTTGCCTGCTCACCACAAGTATCAGCTTCTCCGAAAATTAGGCAAAATGTTAAATAAAGACCACCATTTTGTACAAATAGGGCTGAGGGAAGGCGTGACCTGTTGTGGCTTAGGAAAAAGAACACTCTTTGGGAAGAATGGAAAGTCCTGAGAGCCAAAGATGAGTCTGCTCTTCAGGAGGCAAGAACATCCCAAAGTCTACCAGTATTTTTAGATTCAACTGCAAGACTGCCTTTCATGCTAACAAGACCAGAAAGTCATACCAAAGGACAGAGAAAGACCAGGGACAAAGCAGCGTGGAAAACCAAGTTTTTAAAAAGATAAAAGACTAATAATAAAAAGCCGTGGGGAGCTGCAGGATGGCAAGGAAAGGCAGAGCCACCTAGGAGGGGTGAGACGGGAGGAGGGAGTTTGCAGGGAGGGGGAGAGAGCAGAGAGCTGAGCACGGACGTCAGGAACAAAAGCCCAGGCAGTGGAGTCTGGCGAAGGCAAGGAGAGAGCATGGGGTGTTTTTGAATAATTATTAAAATGAGCATGTGTCTGCGCCATCCTGTGGGTGTGGCGCAGAGCGGAGTGTAAACTCTAGCGGGGCCGAAGCAAACATTGGCTTAGCGGCAGCAGCTGCCAGTCTGTGCCTAGGAGTGTGGGGACCAGCGCAGCGGCAAGCAGACCGACACCATGGCCTCGTCTCAGGGGAAAAACGAGCTGAAATTCGCCGACTGGATGGCAACTCTGCCTGAGAGCATCCACAGCATCCCCCTCACCAATTTAGCCATCCCAGGTAGGTACCCGCTGCACCTGCCCCGCCCTGCTTCACCTTAACACTCAGTGCTAACTTGCTTCTTGCCCACAGGAGGGAAGCTGGCCGGGGGGGGGGGGGGGGGGGGGGGGGGCGGGGGCGCGGGTACCCGGGTTCTCCAAACCTTGGAGGACCCTGGCACCGGGAGTCAAGGTGACTGCTTCTCCTGAGCTTCAGAAGAAGGCTGGATTCGCAGGGCTGGGGCAGGGGAGAAGGTGGTTCCAGGATCGCGCCCTGGGCCCCCTTCTATGGTTTTCCCGGAAGATTCAAGGGGCTTGGAGGCCAGGCAGATCAGGATTCTGAGTCGGTGGCTCCAGGGTGCGCTACGGGAAGAAGCTGGCTGTCTTAGGAGTTCGGCTCCTGAACATCACTGAGTCCCTCCTCAGCGTGGACTTAGGAGGATTTGGTAGTTTCACTGTTAGAATCTAGAATCTAGAATTAGTATTCGTCCCCAGTCTTCTTTAAAGAGACAAAGCGCTCTCTGAAGAGTGATGAAAGTTCAAGGACCAGTGGCGGCGGCGGCGGCGGCGGCGGCATAATCGCTGTCCTTGACACAGAGCTGAAGGGGGCAAGAAGCAGAAAGCAAGCATTTCCTAATTGGCTTGGGCGAGGAGGGAGTCTGGTCACAGAGCTGCTTAAGGTGGAGCTCCTAGGTGAGGAGAGCAAACCCTTGCAGACCACACATTTGCTGCTCCAGACAGAAGCCAGGCAGTGAAATCCACGTGAGCAACAGCGTAGAGGTAGAGATGGCAATAATGAGCAGATTGCCCCCGAAAAGGTGACAGAGCTGGTGGCCTAGAAAGGAAGCTTAGGACCAGCCAGGTGCAGTTGTGTGGGGCGTCAAGAGGCGTTAGCATGGTATGCATGGTTTGGGCCAGAGCACTGGCCAGCTTTCTGGGTCGGAGCACACAGGAGTCCCTAACTTAGGTGTCTAAGAGGGAAGATTGTTTCTGGACAGTTTACAAGCGCGGCAGCTGGGGAAATGCCTCTATTTCTTTAGCAATTCGGTTATGCACATGAGTTGAGGGTATGCACATCTGATTCTTATAAGACTAGGCTGGAGGGCAAATTACTCATGGATAATCAACCCCCTGCCCAGAGGAGAGCTGAGTTATTAAGTTCAACCTTCTGGTCGGTCTGTTTCCTCCGATCTGCCCTCCCCTCACCCCACAACCCCCAACGGAAGCACGATGAGTTGGGAGGAACGGAGTGAAACCTAAGAAACAAGGAGAGGAGCAAGAAATAAAATGGGTTTCTGGAAAAATACCAAGTGCCCAACCAACAAGCGCTGGGACTCACCAGCAACGTAACTCAATTGGAGTGGATGTTTGGTGGCAATGACAGACACAGGCTGAGCAGAGCTCTGTCCTCAGAAAAAGGTTGTCTCTCCCTTTGTCCTTCCTCTCCAAAGGACTTCTCAGGGGCCTAGGTGTCTCTTTGGGAAAGCACAACCCAGCTTCCCTCTGCATCAGTTCCATTCTCCTGGTTGAGACAGGGGATTGCTCTTTTGAAGGAGTAGAAAGCAAACTACTTTGTCAGTGAAATTCTACTTTCACTTCCACCGGCATCCTCATCTTCTCTTGCTTTTTATTTGTTTTCTTAGACAGTTATTTCACGTGGTTCCACCTGCTTCCGGCACTGAGCTGGTAATAAGGGCAAGGACCGAGATGCTAAGTCTCTGGGAAGAGAGTCTCTAGAGATGGAAGGAGGTTAAATGCCTGAGGTAGCACCACCTCTGAGGAATGGTGTGATGCCACATTTGAGACTCACCATAAATGTCTGTAACGCTTCAATTTTCAAAGCCAATGTATGTCTGCTACCTCACATTTTTCCAAAAACTCTGCAAAGTAGGCAGTGCTGGAATTACAATCCCCACTTCATAGACTAAAAACAAGCAACCTCCCCCTCAGAACCAAACAAAACAAGACCCAGAAACTCAGTGCGGGCAAATGACCTAAAACCTGTTTAGTGATCTGATCCCTAAAAGAAATGTTATGGACTATTTCTTAGCGATGCAGGGGTAAGGACTTTGCAATGTATGTGAGCATAACTGAGAAGCAACAAGTTTTCACTGAGGTGAGAAGTAAGGCATCTGTAGAAACAGGGTGATTTTCCTTTTCTATTTCATGGGACTAACTGGAACTTTGAAGTCAGAGACTTCAATTTTCTGCTGTCTCTGGTAGAGACATAAAGATGATGAAATTTGGAAGATAACTGTCTTTCTGTTGTATTCCTAAGCCCTTTTAGTATAAGATTTAAAGTAAATGGCCCACAAAGCCTTGCACTTTCACACCAACATTTCTGTGAAACACACACACACACACACACACACACACACACACACACACACACACATCCCATGCCACCAAATATATATTTCCCCAATACCCATATAGTTGTACAAAAATAGGTTTTGCAAAATTCTTAACTATAAAACTGGGATTAAAATGAGTCTGGTACCTTTCTGCATCATATAACACGGAATTTCTGGAGAAAAAGAAGACATTCAAATTTTGATAGAGCAGACTAATTGGAGACTATTACACACTAATGGAATAATTGCCTTAAAATCATGCTAATAGCTTCCTGGCTGCTACATGTTTACTTGGCCAGTTGCTCCAGCTTGAATTAAGCAATTATCTCCACCATTTAAAACCACGTCTGGTGCACAACGCAAGTGTTTCTGTGGAGAGGAACTGCTGCTCAGTTGTCCTACAGCCTCAGGTTTTCTTAGGTGAAACCTATAGAGGGTGAAGAGCCAACTAATTATGAGGCCACCTACTTGGGGCAGCTATCTCACTTACCTAAGACCATAGCAAAGAACAGTCTCTCTCTCTCTCTCTCTCTCTCTCTCTCTCTCTCTCTCTCTCTCTCTCTCTCTCTCTCTCTCTCTCTCTCTCTCGTGTGTGTGTGTGTGTGTGTGTGCTCTAGTCCCCACCATGTGTGCAGTTCTAGTGTCCTTGAATGTTTCTCAAACAGGTGTGTCGTGAATGCTTTCAGAACCGAGTCTCTCAGTGCTGTTCTGTATTTAAAATTTTCATGATTTGGTGTGGACTGGGATAATTGATTGTTCGTAACTGGTATTAGTGAATTATTTCTAATTTATTATTCAAAGACAAAATATTGGCAGAACACGCAATTGTTCAAATTTCAGTCTTCTCCTTTCTTTTCTCTCTGATGAAACCAAACTTTGGCATTTGGAATGTGAATGGTGCTGGCTCTCACCACAAGCAGGTCAGAGACGATAAAATATCAAGGAAGCAGGAAGACAGAGCATAAAATTCAGGAGAAGGTGAATCTGATAATGATTTGGCATCTTTGATGCAGAGTTCTAATTCTAATCACAGTGCCTCTACAACCATTAAAAAGAGATTTGTCATGGCAGTGTGTAGTGTGTTGATAATCAGGGTCTGCGATAAAGTGCCTTTTTGGTTCAAAGCATAAGATACTGAGAAGGATTTGGCTTATGGGAGGGATCTGCTATACAAGTCCAATATATAATGAAAATCATTTACCCGTAGTCAAACTGATCACCCAATAAGGAAGAAATGATCAAAATGTAGGACTGGAGTGTCAGAAAGAATGTGTGTACTCTTGAACAGGGAGTAGTTGATTATGTTTAGATAAAGAGAAGAATGTTTTATAAATCAGTGATTATGTGGGTAAATTTTATTTCCCTTAGAAAACTGGAATGCCAGCACAAAAGAACAGTTTTATGGAAACTAAGCACTTGTATAATTGATTTCTTGTCCAAGAACTTTAGCTTGTATTCATGTTGTTGTTTGCTTTGTTAGTGTATGTGAGTGTGTGTGTGTGTGTGTGTGTGTGTGTGTGTGTGTGTGTGTGTTCTGAACCTGGTGCCTCACATGTGATAGCAAGTACTCTACCTCTTTAAGGCTCTGTTCAGTTTTAACTTTTTTGCCTCATGGTAATCCTTTCATGTTGCCAACACTCTTAGAGTTAATTTACATCTTCTTTACTTTTTTCAGACTTTTATTTTATTTTTAATCACCCATGTGTTTTCCTGGGGAGGGGTATGTGCACGTGAATACAGATGCCCTTGAAAGCCAGAGTGATGAATTCCCCCAGAACTGGAGTTACAGGCAGTTGTGAGTCTCCTAACGTAGGCGCTGGGAACTGAACTTGGGCCCTCTGCAAGAGCAGTACATACTCTTCACCTCAGAGTCCTTTCTCCAGCCCCCTTTCTCCTCTTTGCAATTTTCTATTTCTATTTTAATTGAATGAAACTACCTATAGGGTCAATCACGCATAGAATCTACTTGAACACATCTCTAAAAACACGTGTATGTTTGGTCAGAATGGTCATATGAAGTAAATCTTTCATCAGCCAAACACACAATACGACTGTTCAGAATGAATATCTCTGTGTTATCCTGCCAATTCCCCATTTGACTTGATTTTTCTAAGAAAAACCGAAGAGAATCTGGAGGATTGAGCATTTCAAAAGTTAGTTTTGAAATTGGCACATAAAAGCTGCACTAATCTGTTCTACTACAACTTTTTCATGATGATTTGAATTGAATTCTCAAATATTATTAACCAACACAAAGTTTTGTATATTATACTTTATTGTTTACAGTGTTTTCTCATATACACATGTGATTTTAATGTGTTCCATCAATGATCTTCTAGGACCTTGTCACTCAAGGCTGTCCAGGCAGGACCGCCGGCATCATCATACATAGACTCATGGTAGAAATACAGCATCTATATTCCACTCTTCCAACTTATTTAATCATAATCTACAATTTAATAAGATAGCCAGCATATTCACATACACATTTACAGTCTAAGAAACACTTTAGTACACCGCTAAAAGGGAGCTTTATTATGTGAGTGGCAGAGTCAAACCTAAGTATACATCTTTCTAGTAGGCTTTTTGTTGAACTATCCATGAGTGTTCAAGTTTTCAATCAAGCTTAAAGCCAGAGCTCCATATTTGATTCAAGGCTAATTGCTCAGTCTGGGAACACTTCTGATAACTGACATTATAGTTCATCACGAACCTTGAGCAATAAATGTTATTTAATTGCTATTTAAGTGTTCAGATTAGGCCACTGTGATAAATGTAAAACCTTCCCCCTCATTTCTTTAAGCCCTGCTGCTCATTGATATTGACTATCAACGGCACTTACGATCAGCCCATCTGGTGATGCAGGTGGATACTAGTGCCAGCTTAAGGAAAGGAACACCCCTATACTGGTTCTGCATCTATTTGTTCTCATTCCTTATTGTTCACAGAAATAAGGACTTGTGTAATATTTATGAGGTGAAGGTTTATTTACTTTATCTACGATGTAGGATTTTCAATATTTCTCTTAAGTAAAATTTACTTTATAAACATAAAATTTCCTAAATGGCCATCATCAGGAAACTATAAAAAGCATGGGTGAACAGTAAATTGATGTATGATAGAAATAAAATGGTCAATTTTGTTTATATTTGCAAGGCACACCTCATTTACTTAAAGCACAGTTTCCATGGGATAGAAACGTGTATTAATGTGTATATAATTCCCTTGTTTGAATATCAGTTGCTTAACAATTGAAATGTTCTAAAATAGATAACATTTATAATCCACATGCACGTGCACACGCATGCGTGCACACACACATATACACACACTTCTCAAATGCTAAAACCAATATTACAGTAAATAAATGTTGAAGGTCATGCACTATATGCATATGAAAATTGCATAATTTCACAACCCTTATTTGCAAAGAAACACAAACATATGAATACATACTGACACAAAAGAGGGTGCTTTTCAAGTACTGTTAGCTCCAAAGTAGAATCAGAGAGATAATAATCCACTTCCATTCATCCTAAGTGGATTTCTGACTAGTTGTAACCATCCTAGGATTGATTCTAAACATACTGCACAGGAATCACAAAAGTCTGGCTACCATACAGTCGAGGCTTTTCTACTTTCCTCTCTTGAGGAGTATTTAGGGAGTGGTCATTTTTTTTTGTGTCTTGAGAGGCTGAAATTTGAGAATGTTAATGTCTAACAAGGATCAAACGTTCTGAGAGCTGAGATCCTTATGTGGAAGCTGCTGATGCTGGCATCACTGCTGATTCTGCATCACTGCTGATGCCACAGGGGCCGGCATTGCCCAAACCTGCCCATATTTTGGGCTAACTCGTATTTATTAATCTGTAGTTATTAGCATTTGGTCCCATGATTCAAGTATGAGTTTAGGGGGGATGGCAGAGAACAACATGTTGAATAGAACTCTTTCCTCTCCTTTAGTCTTTTTGTTAGCTCAGTTCCTTTCTGTGTGCACATGTATACGTAGGCACATTTGCATATGTGTATATGTGTATGAGTGTATATCACTTTCTTTTTAAAGAAAAATACATGATTTTTCCTGTAGGGACACCTCTGGATGGTGCTGTGCAATCATTCTTACATCTAGGTCCAGAGTAAAAATAAAAGTGTGATCTGAATTTTTCTCACCAAGTAGTCTAAGTGAGTGTAAATAGAACCAAATAATCTGATAGAGCTGAAATAATCCCTAAATGCACCACTGTATTGAAATGCAGAGTAATAATGTAGTCTTGCCCTTCAAAGAAATTACACACACACACACACACACACACACACACACACACACACACACACACACACAATCTAATTATTGGTACGTAAGAGAAGAAACTGTTTCTTGAAACAAATTTCCCTGCTACTGCTAAAGAGAATGCTTCTTACCAATAAACATTCGTTTTTGGAAAGCCAAGAGCTTTCTACCATGTTAGAAATACCACAAAGTCCTTGATATAATTATGCAGTATTTAATGTATTAAAAATGCTACATCATCTTATCTTTTCTGGTCTATGTAGGGTTATGATTAGCCTCAGTAGGTTAATGACCAGAAAAGCATCTAAACCACATGCTCCCTAAGAAGGAGAAAGAGTGAAAAAGGAAAATAAATCCTAACACATTTCAGATAGAATTCTACTGCCAAAAGCTTTCTATGGCACCATATGCTTTTATTATGCTCTATTAAGAGAGGAAGATAGGCCAGGCAGAGGGGCAGGGGAGGGTGATTAAACCTTCTCAAGAAGCTTCCAGGATTAGTCACCTCTAGAGGTCAGGTTCTGAAACAGATGGCCCACGGATTTTGTTAGATACGCTCTTGCTATGTTCTTGTACTCATTACAGATTCTGGGAGTGGACAAACCTTACAATGCTCTATATAAAATGCTAGCTCTTATTGGGCTTTGCACAGGGTAATTCTTCCCGTGAAATAACTTTTAGGAAGCAATTATGTTTAACATCCTTGGTCAATATAATGATAGTTCAGTTTCTCAATTCAATGGAAGACTTTTTATTTTGAGGAGGAGAGTGAGCTATGATGACTAGTTGTCTACTCAACTTTCCTGGTGGCCTCCATGCTTGCTGGTGAAGGAAAAGATGTGCATGATATATCCTTGAATCGATGCATGATTCAAACCATGTTGAGTTGTGTTGTCATATGGAGCAAGAAGGTGGCCAGAACTGCCTCAGTACAAAGTTAGCTTTAAACACAGTCCTTCCATGACCTAGCCTGGGCCTTTCCCAGGAAAAATTTAATCAAGGTGATGTCAAGATCCTGTTAGATGGGAAGGCTTCAGACTTTTAAAAAATCCAGTTAAAGAACTGTTTGGAGGTACAGGGAAGATGCAGAGTGGCAGGCCCAGTTCTGTTCTCAGGGATGATTCAAGCTACAGAAGTTAAGGACCATGGAAGATGAGGTACTGTGGTGATATATTTTGTTCCCCAATATATTGTGCATCCTAATAAACTTATCTGGGGTCAGAGGACAGAACAGCCACTAGATAGACATAGAGTCCAGAAAATGGTGGCAC